CAATTTGAGATATCTGGAATGTAAGGGCGGTAAAACCGAATTTATGTTAAAATGGCTTGCCATATTATGTTGGGTTTCTCGTCCTCGTCTCGCTATGCTAATGGTCCTTTACATGAGGTAACGGGGGAGACTCATGTTTGCGAAGGGCTATGGCAGGCCGTAATAAGATACAATTCAAACCACTGGCCATGAGGGTGGTCTTCCATCATTAGACCGCTAAAGGCAGATATATAAAGAAATATTTAGATATAGATATTAATCTTTAGATCTATTAGTATATGTCAATAAATAAAAACAAACTAAACAACTTCAAGTTTAATAAATCTCAACTTGATAAAAATTAAACTTTTTAGTGAAAAATACAGATTTAACCAGTCCGAGAATCCTAGATTTTGAACTAAAGGTGATCAAATGCAGACCAGGTTCCTCCTCCAAAACCAGTGCATTAATCCTTTAATACACTGTAAGCTACAAATAAGTTTCCAACTTCACTGTCATAAGTCACAACTAATGACACAACACTCATTTTCAAATAGCTTACGCTGTCCAGAAGTACAGGTCAATAAAGAATGTACTGCGGTGCAAATGACAAGCTTTGTTTGTAGTCAATAGTTTGTGACGATGCCCCCGGTTAGGTAATTAACACGTACAGTACGTAAAACTTTAATCAGTTTATTCAAAGATACATATTTTACAAAATACATTGTTTTATTTCACAACATGAGCTGGATGTGCATCCCTGCCACATGTATGAAATTATATATTGAATGGAGAAAAGAAGTTTTTTCGTTAGTTTCTTCCAAAATCAAATTATTATTTTTTTTTTTGCAGAAATATGCAAAGTTTGTGGAAATATGCGACAGTATCTATCATACCTCCTGACATCGAGGCAAAAGTCCTATAGATGCACCGTAGAGCCATTAGCAAAACACATATTTAATGGAAGCGGGATGTCTGTGGCAACTCTGATGATAACTGCAAGTAAAGGAATTCTAGATGGTGCTTATGCGACAGGAAAAAAAAAAAGACTGAGTTATAAACATCCATTTAAAAGAGCTTGTCAAATAATTACATAGGAAAGTAGTTTTCCAACCAGTCTGAGAAGAGACCATGTTTTTACAGCTTCACAGTTTCAGCATTTAAACCCTCTTAATGCCAGAATTACATAAAGGCCACATCATGAAACTGTTGTAATTGTGAAATAACAAAAACAATGACGATGTGCTCCAACCTGGTTTATTACAGACAGCTGCAACTTTCAGGATGAGGCACTTATTCATTCAGTATTATTGTGTTTCTTTGTGGGGGGAAAAAATATGCTTGAAAGGCAGAACAAAAAAAAAGAGAGAAAAAAAGGCTAAATCCTGTCTGTGCTGAAGGGATGGTGGTAAAAGAGTACAAGACTGTCTGAGCCACACTGATAAAACCAGTTGAACTGCAATTATATGTCAGTGACATACTTGTCTTGAGGACTAAAGCTATGTTATATAAATGCACATGGGTGTGTTTACGTGGCGAAGTAGGAGTAGAAGGAAGTGCAGTGCAAACCTAATCAGAGTTATCTAGGATATAGATGCTGTAAATGTGATTTGCTGTATTACACTGCTAGTATAGATAGGTTAGAAATGGGACATACAGGACTGTGTTATGGTTTAAATTTTCTGTTTTAGTGCTCCCGACCAGCAGCCAGTCAATCTTTGTTTACAGAGCATTTTTCAAGCAATTAATGGGGAACGCAAAGTGATTTACATAAGCTAGATACATAAGGCAGCATCTATGACCAAACAGATATATAAAAAATAATTAGTGTGTTCAACAAGTATGGATTTAAAAAGAAGAAATGTACAAAGATGCATTGTTAACAGAGGTTAACAATTAATTAATTTAAAAAATAAATGAGATGGAAATGAACTAAAATAGGAGAAAAGTGAGTAAATCATGAAAATTACAGAAAATAAAGTACATTAAAAATGTAATCAGTATAAAGCCAAACAGTGCTGAGCAGTTTATCATAATTACCTAAAATCAAACAAAACCCTAAACCACAAAGATCAATCTCAAATTTGCTTTTAAAAACATCAATGGCCTCCCCTGGGAAAGAGTCTTCAGAAAGGCTTTTTGCCTTTTTTTGAGGAAAATTATGCACCACTGAGGGTTTTTGTTCCTCCTAAGACCTTTAATGGCTTCAAAAGTGACTAAAAGCATCTTAAGATTGATTCTTAAACATGGAGCTAACTAGCAGCGAGGAGACCTGGGAATGAGAATGCTGCATAAGCTCTCTTTCTGGTCTCATAGTAGCCGTAGAAGGAGTCACATTCTTTTAGGAAAGCCATAAATGTATCGCAGTCATCGATTCTGCAGGTTGTGGTGGGGCTAATGGAGGTAGCAATAAACTCCGCAGAGGTTAAATAAAACAAAAATGCACAACATTATGCATGTTTTCTTTGTAAATATTCAGACCTACATCGTCCTGTTTTGTGGACAGGTTAAAGTGAAATATTCTTTATTGTCCTTCAGTGAGAAAATCAGGTATAGCAGCAGTAAAGTGACAGCCAAGTAGAAGAATGTACTTTCACATCTAGGTAAAAATGTACATTAAAGGGCCTTCAGCTGTCATGTGTTGTGATCTGTTGGTATGTAAATTAACTAAATTGAGCTAAAATAAAAACAGAAAGTAGGAAATGAGACTGTACAATGAGGGCAGATTTACGGCATAAAATGCTATGGAATTATTAGATATACGCTATATTTACTTTAAAAAAATCATGCAAAAAATCTGCATCTGCATAGGGTATTTTAAGAAGCGTACAAAAGACAGACGTTTAAAACAAATGGGAAAGACATAAAAATAACAGCAAGTGATGGTTATAGTCGTACAGCTGCTGGGAAGAAGGACCTGCTATAATGCTCCTTTGTGCACCTGGGATGCAGCAGTCAGTCACTGAAGGAGTATGTCACTGATTTTTTTTCAGGATAATAGCTTTAAGCTGATGGTATTCAAAAGATTTGTCAGATATACTGATGTTGATGCTTTAAAAAGAACTGTGACTTCTGGAATATCTGAGATTTCATAACATAGTATTTGCCCAATATCCACAAATCAGTTGTCTGAGGATTTTTTCTGAATCCTGCAAGCCACATTTATTAAATAAATAAATAAATAAATAAATAACAGAAACAAACCCCTAAAATATTCCACTCTTTGTTTCAGGAATCTTGAGTTTCACTTTTGGAGCTGAATCACTGAAAATGATCAACTCCAAAGCAGCAGCAGCAGACAGTTTTAATGAACTGCTGAGAGTTGAACAGAGAGCCTGTGCATGCCGAGGGGTTTTTGTTTGCTTTTGTCTTTTTCCCCTGCGTCTGTTTGAACACAGACGGTGGTCGCAGGGCAGATGAGAGCCGTTCAAAGCTGACTCATATCAAAGGCCCTCTGGCTCTTTGTGATGCTGTGTTTGCGACAGGTGACATTTTGGGCTGGAAACCGTTTGTGACTTTGAACGCCCGCCCTGAGCCGAACCTGTCCTGCGCCAACAGGGAGCAGGAGAGCAGGTGGGAGGGAGGCTGCTGAGGGAAACTCACTTTTCCCTCTGCAGATCGCAGCGACGCATGAAGGCGCTTCTTCTTCTTCTAAAAACAAAACAAAGGCAAATGTTTCAAAGGATTAACAACGACTTCGGTGTGAAATGATTTCTTTCCGGCTGAACTGACAGCAAAAAGAACCATAAGGTAAGTGACGTGCTTTTTGTTAATTTAATACACATCAACCGATGTCTTTCTCCATCTTTGTTCTCAACTTATATTTCAATTTAGGACGTTTTAGCGGGTGACGAAAAATATACAAAAAGACAACAAAAATACAATCCTTCCCAAATACCCTTTTTTTTTTTTTTTGGTCTCCCTTGACTGCAAAAAACTTCTTTGTGAAGACATTTAGATCTAGAAATTTACAGACTATTCCTAAAAGTAATTGTTTATTGCTGGACACCAACAAATATAAATGATTTCCATCGTCTTAGATCAGAAGATTGGTCGAATGTGGAGCCAGAAGCTTGTTGATGAATTGCAAATTTCACTTCCCCCCCCCAAACATCCGTTTCTGTTGGTGGTGTTGCACGCATTTGTTTGACTATGCATCATTTGAAATCTTTGTAATTAAAAAAAAAGCTTTTGCGTTCAATTCGAGTTGCATATCCTGCATTTTCAGACCAATTCCAATGGGACCATCGAAAGCGCCAACACGATTACGACATTCACGCTGATGAAGAGCAAACTTCTCAGCGGGTCAGCGACTAAAATGCAGCCTGCCTGACTTTGTTTTGCCTCTCAGGGCAAATGGGGGATCCTCTGACAGACTCCAGCCCCCTCATCAGCGCAGCCTCCTGCGGGAAGCTTCGTCTGGTCCGCCTCCTCGTGGAAGGCGGGGCTCAGGTGAACGGGAGCAACCAGAGAGGAGAGACGCCCCTCTTGGCTGCCTGCAAGGCCCTGAGAGGAGAGCCAGCCGGGAAGGAGAGTGTGAAACTCCTGAGATTCCTGCTGCAGAATAAGGTCAAACTGTGGTGACAAATACTTCCCCTTTCACGAAAACACATGCGCGACGGCAGTGTGACGGTTTTCACAGCAAAAACACAAAATCCTGCTAAGTACTTTTTGGTCTAGTTTCTTGTGCATATATCTTAGTCCGTTTGAACAAAACTAACTTATAAGTAGCTTCTCAGCGTTGACATATATGAGCTTGTTTAAAGTGAATAATTCCTTAATGTTGATGAAGGAGTGTTGGGTATAAGTGAAATAATCTCCCAGAGGAATATGGAAACGTTTGTTGTTCCACTAGAAGATTATTTCACTTCCAACTAGTACTTTTTACATCAATATTAAGGAAATACTGTCTCAAAACAAGCTTATATGTTGCTGAAAAGTTACTTATAAGTTAGTATTTTTAATTTTATTTTTTTTATTTCAAGTGTACCAACATACTTGCACTAGAAACTAGGCCAAAATACTTGGTAAAGTTTTTTTTTTTTTTTTTTTTTTTTTTTTTGTTGTTTTTTTTTTTTTTATGGTGGGAAGATGAAGCAAACGACATTTAGATCAGCTAAAGTTTGAATTTCAGAAATATTTAAACAGCATCACCTACAATCAGGCAGATCCCAACGCACAGGACCAGGAGGGTCGCACTCCTCTGATGTACACCTGTATGCAGAGAGCGGGCGCTCCGGTGGCGTCCGCCCTGGTGGCTGCAGGAGCTGACCCGTGCATAGAGGACGGCTCTGGAGCCTCAGCTTTGGTCTACGCCATCAACGCACAGCACCAACCCACAGTGCAGGTTATTATCCCAACGGGAAAAAAAAAAAAAAAATAGAGAAAAATCCTAAAAAGAAGATATAAGAGTACCACAGATGATTCATGCCGCACTTTTATTTCAGGTGCTAATAGACGCTTGCCGGGCCAAAGGTCGTGACATCATCATCATTGCTACGGAGACGGGTGCGAACAGAGGCCCAGTGACCAGGAGGTACCTGAACGTCCCCCCGTCTCCGGACTCCTCCCCCGTGTCCTGCATGTCCCCGTCCGACATCATCCTGAAGACGGGCTCGCCAAGCTCGCCTGAGGGGGGAAACATCTTCAACTTCAGAGGAACAAGTGAGGATTTAAAAAACAAAAAACAAAAAAAAAAAAACATTTGATCTATCCTCCTGTCAGAAATTGGTTAAAATCATTAGAACTGGTTGCGCATCTTCAGGTCTCAGTTAACTGGCCTCAGATGAAAGACAAGACATTTGCCTAAAATTGGCAGCTTTCCATCTGGAGAAGTCTAAAGTCATCTGGAGAGATGGTTTACAATCAGATGTAATAAAGGCAGAACCAGCTAGCTGACGAGAAATGTTATTGGACGGGTCAAAATAACGCTTTTAATTCCAGTAACTCTGTAGCCACTGTCAGGCATGGTGGTGGTAGCTTCATACTGCTGGGTTGTTTGGCTGGTAAAGGTGAACTACCTCACAATTATTTAATCTAAAATCTACAGCTAGAAGACGAGAACTTTGCTATAATCAATCAGCCTCGCATCAACACTGGGTTAGGAATGGCTAACATTTAGCAAATGCCCTCAGAAGAAAGTTTCCTTTTAAATTTCTCTGTCTGCAAAATTCTTAGCCAGGAAATTTCAAATCGCAACTGCATTCAAAGTTGGTTCAGACTAATTCCATGAATGCTGGGTAATTTCCAAGTTGCAACGTAGAAATGTCCCTTGGATGTGAATTTCTAGCTTTGAATCTTGCAAGAAACTACATCAACTAAACGCCAGTGTTTGGTCAGATTGTTCCTGGAAGAAAGACAAGAGTGTAATTTTGGAATTGTAGAAATAGCATCATTTAGTAATGACTCTGACTCGGGCTTTTCTGTTCGTTTATGTCCAGCAGGCAAACACGGAAGCGGCAGCAGACGCTCGTCGTTCGAGCTGAGTCAGTCAAGTCCATGTAGGGGTCCGGCTTCCAGACAGAGGGTGTCGTCTGAACCGTGGTTGGCCATCAACAACCTGGACTCCCTGCAGAGGGCTTATGAACGGGGAATGAGGGAGAGGAACCTCGAGGAGGAAGGAGAGGTGCAGGGAGAATGTGGAGACGAGGACGTAGACGTGGCGCGCAGACCGGATGCTGGGTTTACCGGGGACATTCGTAAATGCTGGAGTAAGGACTCGGTTACAACTAAATCAGACGGCGGTGTTCCCAAGAGGATTCTGTCACCAGGAGGGTCAGACACGAAGCTTTCAGCCTGCTCATCCCGTCGCTTTTATCTCCGCAGGAACACCCTCCCCTCTGTCGCTGCGGTCAATCCTCCCCTTCACCTCCCGCCCTTAACGAAGCAACCGGACCCTCACCTGCAGGTGCCAGCTAACGTTTTACCTGCAGGAAGCAGCAGACGCGTGTCCTGGTTTCAGCCGCGCCCGCCCTGCTCCTCCTCTCCCCCGACCTCTGCCAGAGCGGCCCTGCTCCCTCTGCTGCCCCAGGCCTCCTCTCTGTTCGCTCCTGCTGGCTTCAGTCACAGGGAGAGGAGCGGGAGGTCACCGCGTCGCCACTCGGCGCAGTTGGAACAAAATAATTTGGACTTCTGAAACTGTGAAGCTATAGGTTTGCGGTCTGGTTTTATTTTATTTAAATAAGTGTCGAGTCCAGCCACATCTGCAGCTTCCTGCATTATTTTGTATCAGTTCTTGATCTGAATGAGTTTCACCTTCTATGAAGTAGATGTAAAGACTAGCCGCAAAACTAGTTAACATCTTTTCACTCAGTCTGTGTGTTTTTGAATGTCGTTTTGTAGCCTAATGGAAAAATATTTGAGAAGAAAAATGTTCTGGTTTCAAATTTAGAAGGAACATAGGAGCTAGTGTTCATGGCAAAAGGAGTGAAGTCATTTTATTTCTTTTTAATATGTATCTACAACAAGAGGGACACAGGCAAAAACGACCGACAAGTTGATGGAAATTAAAACAAAACAATAAAATAAAGTACATTTAATCAGCATCGATGTAGATTTCCAACCTTTTTTTTTCAATAAGCAACTTTTTTTTTTGTCTAAAGTAACTTTACAATATAAAGAAACATACGAAGGAACCTCTTTTTTTTTTAACTACACAAGACATTTAGGATCTGAAACTACCCTAACATGATATACAAAGCAACTTCCTGCCTTATATTCAATACTGCTTTGTCATCAGGAGGAAATAATGAGGAACCGAACAGAAAAAAAAAAAAAAAAATCTTTACTCCCAATTCTGCCCCAAAGTCCTGTCTTAACCCTCCCCATTCCTTAATGTTACAGTATTATACATCAGCACGATAGAAATACAGTAATGATCAACATTGTGACGGCTTTGCTTACAGGACAGAAAGAGAAGTCGGACTGCATTTTATACAACAGTATTAAAGTACACGGGAGAAAACGCATGTTGATGCACTTTCTCTACCTCATCTTAGCAACAAATATGTCCATGTGGCTTTTTTTTTTCTCTCTCCTTCCTTCCTCTTGCTTCCACAAACGTTTCTCTTGCCTGATTTTAAATAGATTAGAAAATCCTTCATAGTAAAGTATGTACTCTGATCTCCGGTGTGCTGGACTGAGAGCCAGTGTCCTGTGTGCCCTGCTTTGTTTGTTTGTTTTTTTGTTGTCGAGTCAAAAGAAGCTGAGCTGCAGTGCATCCGAGACCACGTGTCATTTGTTTTTGCACCTGGTCTTTGAAAATTCTGCCAAAAATTGCAAAAAAGAAAGAAAAGAAAAAAAAAGAAAGAAGAAAACAAATTTCTTACTTTGTATTTTTCTGTAGTCACCTCAAATGCATCATGTTTAAAACACGTGTCGATGAGTTATCCCAGAACTAACTACAGGTAATTTCCCTCCTTTTGTCCTGCTCAGTTGCAGCACAGAGAGGCCCCCCCAAACCCCCCACGTAAATAAGGGTTGTGAGGTGAAATAGCATAATCGTCTATAGCAGCTCCGGTTTTTAAGTTTCATATCATTTCTGGTTAAAAGTACACCGTTTGCCTGAATCAGCACGCTACTGATCAACTGTTCAGTTGTGATTTGAAATATCAAAACATGTCAATGATATCAAAATGCATTTTACAGTATTTACAAAAAGAAAAAAAAAACAAAAACAACAGAACAAATTGAAAAAAAAAAACATGGAGAGTTGTACAAAAAAAAATTCAGAAGTGAAGGAGAGGGGGAAAAGTGGTGTTTGTGTAAGAATGCCAGCCTGATGGAGAGATGAGAATAAAGGGAGAAGGATGGAAGAGGAGGAAGAGGAGGAGGAGGAGGGACGTCGCTCTTTTAGTCAACGGAGCAGAGATTTGGGGCTCCCAAACCTTCCTTTCAGCAAAGCAAGCTCCAAAACAGCACAGGCGGACAAACAGGATCGCAATACTGGCAGAGGAAGGTGGGGTGGAGTGGCGTGGACAGAACCTTTCGGGCTCAGATGGAGGACTCTGCTGAGCGCATCTGCAGATTTATACAGTTGCTACCAATTCTGCAATCGACGACAAAAACAGAGATGACACTTACAAAAACGAAAAGAAAACAAAAAGAAAGAAAAGGATTTATAAACAAATTAAAAGTACATAAATAAATAGAGCTGTGCATTATTATTATTATTATTATTATTTTTTTTTTACTGCAGCAAAGTTACAAAAGCAGGAGGCAGAGATGCTGCTGGTGAGCAAGGGAGTAAAAAGATCTGGATGTTTTCAAAAATGCTCAATAGGTACCGTAATGGACGAAATCAAATCCCACCAGCAGGGGGCAGTGTGCTCACAGAAAGCCATGTGACGCGCAGCAAATTACAGGTGCTTCTCAGCGAGTCTGAATATCATCAAAACATTTACTTCAGTGTTTAAATTCAAAATGTGAAACTGACAGAGTGATATATTTATCCAGCTGATCAAGGTCGACGGCCAACAAAAAATCCAAAATGCAGCTTCTGCTAAGATGGCGACCTCTGACCTGACGGCAATCAAGCACCCTGCTGCTGTAAGCATGTCAATGGAAAACTGGGTGGAAGAAAAAAAAAAAAGTGCTAATGCATGATTGCATGCACCAACATGGAGTACAGCTGTCGCATTCATCAAGCCGACACAAAGCCAACAGAACAAATGCTGCACTGTTGCTCAGCAGCACATTTCTTTTTGTTTTTGTGCAGTCTGAGCTGGTAAACTTGCATGACTTGAACCCCTGCAGTGAATCTAACGATGCATAAATTAATGCAAAAGGAGCCCAGGTCAAGTACTGAGTGCATATAATGAGTGGACAAACTTTTCAGTAACTTTTTTTTTTTTTTTGATGTTTTCATTCAAATTTTGTTGGAAACCGCATTTTGCATTTTCATCAGCCTTCAGCTATAACCACTAACTTAAATATACACTTACAACATTCAACTCTGATTAATTTAACATTTTGAATTGAATTTCTGATATGAATTAACTTTCCAACGATATTCTAAATGAGAGGAATCTGTATTTGAGACTCGTGTGTGTGTGTGCACATGTGCTGTTTTCATTTAAACAGTGTGCCCCTAAAAACAAATGAAAAGAAAAACCTTAATCTTAAAATAATAGCAATATCATAATAATAATACAATTAAAATAAAAATAGCAATGATACATTACATACACAAAAGAATTTTGGAAAAACATGTTCACTGATCATCACAACAACTCTGTTACAAATGTACACGTACAGAGAAAAAAAAACAAAAAACAATGTTGTAGGGACATCGAGGGCCCTCCGTGGAATCTGTTGGGAGCAAAAACAAAAACCAGTAAAGACGGAAAAAAAAATAAATAAAAAAAAAAATCCAACATTGTGGTTGATGAGATTCTCAGCAGCTGCAAAGAGAGTCCAGGAGGGACGGCGGCGCGCTCCGGTCTCCTCCATCCCCTCGCTCATTGTCTGGACCCCGAGAGAAAGCTGGGGAGGCTGGGGCCGGAGTCTGAGAGGAGGCCCTTCCTGCTGCCCTGCGACTGCTTCCTGTTCACGCCGGCGGCCATTTTGCACGCTCCGGGAGGGCCCGTCTTAATTAGAGTTCCAGCATGCTCCAGGGCGCTCCCGGAAGGCTGCGTGGCCGCAGCAGTTCCCGAAGGGAGGAGAGGAAAGACGGAGGGCGGGTTGGGGGCGGTGGAGGACGGATGCCGTCAGGAGGGAGGGGGGCCAAGGGGAGAAAAGGTGTGTGTGTGCGATGAGGGGAGGCGGGTCAGTCCGAGGGTCAAGTTAGGATTGAAGAAAATGATTTAAAAAAAAAAAAATCAAAAAAAAAAATCAGGTGCAGAGTCACAAAAAATTGGGGGAGAAAGATTAAAAAGAAAAAAAAAAAGAAAATCACACACTCATCGTCATGTTGGGTGAATACTGAAAAGAGAGAGAGGGGAAGGGGGGAGGAGGAGGGCAGAAATGAGTGGAGATATCACCGACAACGATTAAACACTAGAGGGCACTCAGACCCAGGCCTGCAGAGCTGCAGGAAGCACAGACTTGAGGTCTGAGTCAGGCTGCTTATACAACAGACTCCATCAGTCAGCGCTGTCATGTTTCTGTTGTCTTCGACAAACAGGAAGGGAGGTCAAACTGCTTCCAGAGATAAAGCACGCTTTACAGCGGCGCTCTCAGGTCGGGGTTCCAGAACGGCTTCCTTTCTCAATTTCCCAGACTCAAATTTACAAAACGACTAGTTTTCAGACCATCCTGGATATTTGAGCACCAGATGTTTAACCATTTGGATTTCAGTTCCTGAATTTCCCACAAATCTCCTGAAGTTGGCCTCTACTCGGAGAGTGAGATAAATAGGCACTTTTTGTCCTCCCTGCTTTTTTCAGATGTTCATTTGGAATGAATTGGTATTCGCAAAAACATGTAGGCCAGTGGAAAAGGGGCAATAGATTCTATAAAGCACCTCTTTATGATTCCTGATATCTTTATTCTGTTTCTAAAACAGAAAAAAAAAAGCCTTTTATAACAGCACTAACTACAGTTCACTAGCTGCAATTCCTGTTAGGCTACAACATTTATTAGATTGCCAAAAAGACTGGGAGGAACCCTGACACAGGAACCCGGCTCGATGCGGAGAACGACCCGATAGCTCCAACAGCGAATCAGACGCGTTTTGTTTTTAGTTGACAGCAGCGCTGCAGCCTTTTATCTGAGCTCAGCTTGTTGCCGTCCCGTGAACCCCGTGGCTCTGCAGGTCGAGGGTAAGAGAGCGTCACAAATTTTACACAACGCAGGGAACCAAACCCATCAACTCCCGCCCGCTACGCCATTTTAACCAGAACCAAGGTGTTTGCTTTGAGTTTCAGATACAGTTCAATCAATCGGCTATAATCACATCACATACAGAGGGCACAGAATGAAGTTTTAAGAGATTAGTAAGCGGCCACAATGCAAGCAGAACACAAGCTCTTACAAGGAGTCAACGTGGATAAAAGTGAGTTTCGTTGTCGCTAAAGACAAAATTTAGAGTGCTGCGTCCCAACATGTAAAGTTCAGCTTAAAAAGAAGCTTAAATCTAGAAAATATTTGAGATTTACAAAGAGATTGATTCTAAAATGAGTCTATTTTGGATCTTGAGGCCCAGATATCCAACAGCCATGTTTGAGTTTGATACGCAGGGAACCAAAAATCTCACAATTAAGATTCATTTTTTACAGTAGGTATGGATTCCTGTTCGAGTTCAGATCTTAATATTCACTCATCATGGACTGAGTGTTAACAACTTAAGAGCTTTTAATGATTCATTTTAATGGAACAAACATTTTAAATAAGTTTTAAAACTAAAGCTGTTTAACTTCACTCATCCCCGCCACGCTGGAGAGAGTCAGCACCGTCTGTCGTCCTCAGCAGGGCTACGAAAAACTAAGCTATTCAGTCATAACGACAAAAGAAGTTCAGAAAAATCTGAAGGAGGAAGGTGAGGCTGTGAAATATAATGGTGCAAATGTTAAGCACGGTGTGGGCAGCGTTATGCTGAGGGGCTGACACTGTCAGTCCCAAGTTTCTGGAATGAGGAAGACCTCGACTCAACAGTGTTCTCCTAGTATTCAGAGGAATTGGGGTTCACAACCACAGAGAATAACTAAAAACCACAGATACTTGAAACTCCCTCTATAAACACTTTTAATGGCATATTTTAATAGTTCAAACACAAAGTTAAAATTTGTATTAGTGCTACCACAGAAACCAGCATCTGCAGTCTTCCTTGGATGCTCTTGGGGGTTCAACCAATCAGCACTCAGGAAAAATATTGGTGCTCCTGGATTGGTCGATTTAATTCTAGTTTCTGATTTGCGTTTTAAGATTCACTGAAGCTGCTTTACAATTCATTCCACTCTAAAAGAAGAACAGTCCAAATGAATCATTAAAATAAATACGGCCTCATGCCCATGAATCCAGGCTGCTTTAAAATGTCCCAAAAGGGTTTGATTCAACTTTGATTTGATTTACCTTGTTGGTTTTGAACTTCAGAAAACATAGACAGTGTAAAAATACATACAAAGAAAAAATAAAGTCTGTAAAACTGAGATTTCTATAAAAAAAAAAAAGTTTCTCTTAAATTACTATAATAGGGACATATTAGCACTTTATTTCACTCCTAAATTTCAATCATTCAAACCCTCTGCTTGCATTCTTCCACTGGTTTATGTCAGGATTGAGAGGACAAACCGTTAAAGGGTGTGAAATGTCGCCAACACGCTCCACTCCACTTACACTTTCGCTTTGGAATGGGTTCAAAAAGTTGCCGCCCATTTCGCCGTCGTCCCGCGGCGTCCCGGGAGGATTGTTCATGCCTCCCATATTGTTAGGAGAGCTCTGGTGGGAGAGAAAGCGAGAGAGAGGGTCGAAACAGGAATAACACAAGGTCTGACTGAAGCGCCGCTGGAGCACAGAGGAAACGCTTAAAGAAGATGTTTACTCACCTTTGGCAACCCATCCATATCCCCAGACCCTGAGGATGTAAAGCACAGATCTGAGTACTTTCAGAAAGAAATAATAATAATAAAAAAAAAAAAGTTATGCGAGTCGCCAAGTCCCACTGTGTCTCAACCCACCTAGTGATCCATTCATGTGATGTGGCTCCATGGCTCCCATAGCTCCCATTGGCCCATCAGGCCCCGGTCCCATAGGGAACTGGTGAGAGGGAATTATGAATGACTTGAGATCATTTTTTCTCTCTGCGGACTCGTAGGTATAATTGTAATCTTTGGAGGCAAAGCTGAAGTGATTTAATTCAGACTCCCCGGGTTAATCCAAGCGTTTCTCAACACTAATGCAGTTAGAGCAACATTTACATTTTCACCTTTGCCACAAATAATTGATTCTGCAACAAAAAACTCACATTGGGTCTGTTGCCTCCAGGTCCGATAGGATTCATCATTGTGTAGATGTTTTCACTGGAGTTGGTTGAATCTAGGAAAAATAACGCAACTACATTAATGACAAGTTATTTAAATGATGACGTCACACACACAAAAATAATAATAATTTAAAAAAAGGATTTAATGGAGTGAAGGATAAAGGATCAAAATAAAGACAATGCAAGACGGGGAAAATGAGAAACGAACAATAGCAGTTGGTGGCGAACAGAGAAAATGAAGATTGTTAAGTGAGGAAATGAACTGAGAGAGACAGATGAGAGTTTGTGACAGGGGACGTAGTTGGGTGACGCACCACCTGGGCTGGGCATGATGGGAGTTCCAGGAGGCCCTCCTCCACCCGGTGGACCCTGGGAAACAAAATTAAAGGTTTACAAGTCACATAAGCAGAGAACATGTCTTAATAAAGTGGCTTTATTTACAGTTTGACTCACCACATAGTTTCCTGGTGATGATGAGGAGTAAGCTATCTGCAGAGGGAACAGTGGTCAGAGCCAACTTACAGTAAAAACCTGTACAGTGTGCATTTGTATTTAGCCCCACTTTACTCTGACAATTAAACCTGTTGAAATGATGCGAGTTCGGCTCGCTGCAAAACTAAACTACATTCAGAGCTCTGCGTGAAGCATACTGAAGCACGGTGGTGGCTGCATGGTCAGAGTTACGTTAAATGCCGGGCAAATATGGAAGAAAAACTTGTTCTATGCTCTCAAGGAGAGGAGGATTAGGTCCGAGCAGGACAGCAACCTCAAACATACGGTCAGAGTCTCATGGGATTGTTCAAAATGAAGCACAGAATGGCCTAGTCAAAGACCAAACATCATTTCAACTGAAAATCTGTGAATAGACCTAAAAATAGCTGAAGTTGTGACTGAACTGGGAACATTTTGAAAAGAGAAATCTTCTTTTAGCTAAAATAGTTTTAGCTGTGACTGAAAGGGGAAGCTGGGCCTGTTTGGACTCAGTTGCAGTCATCATATTTTACATATAAAATATGGACTCACTGAGTTAGCATTAGGTCCTGGCCATGGCCCCCTTCCTCCAGGACCCCTGAGGAAAAGACAAAAAGAGGAAAATGTGTAGAAAAAGTTGGTCAGAAGGAGAAAACACCTGAGATGACGATGAAAGACTAACTAGAAGAAAACATGCAACTGTTACCGCATTAAGAGAAGTCATAATCTGCAACTGTCTTAGACAAAACAATCTCTAGTCCATTTTCATGCAACGATAAAGGACAATAGAATATTAAAGCAAAATATTGTGGACCCAGAAGCAGTTTATGTTTTAAAATAAATTAACCAAGCATTTCAGCATCTGTAGATTTTCAACTTGCTCAAATATTCTAGCGTCAAAGTCAATGTGCTTACTGCGTCCAAATTGTGCTTCAAATCAGAAAAGCAAAAACCAGGTTTCAAGATGAATTGTGTTTAGTTTACGGCTGATCCGTGACACTCCTCCGATAATCTGAAAACCTGGAAAACTCTGCAGAAATTCATGCTGAAGGAAAGACCGGCTGATGATATGTTGGTTGTTTGTGTAGCTCATGAAGTGTCTGTACATGCAGATTAATAATCCTACTTCTGTTAACAGTTTATTTCATTGGAGTCATAAAGTCACTTAGGAGTATTTGTATGCTCAGTTTAGAATATGTAGAAGTACTCTTGATCTAAATTATGGAATATATACTTTATTTGTAAGATACTTATGTTTGTGAGCTGGATTTCCTCCAACAGGGATCAGTGCAGGATCATCCTGTCGTATCTGAACTGCTTTGTAAATGCAGGTTGTGCCAAATGCAAACTGACTGTTTATTTATTCTTTATGAAACGGCCAATGTGGTGTGAATGATCCATTTCAAAGAAAGTAACCCAAAGTGCAGCAACTTTCTTTCAGCTGTTGAACTGCAGTGGCAGCAACAGGTGGAGGAGGGGAGGCACTGCTTTTCTGCTGCTACTCAAAGGAGGAGAAGAGCAACTACAGGCTGACTGAGGTACCTGTGAACTAATGAGAGGGTAATTCACCGGACTTACATGTTCATTCCTGGCATGGGACCCCCCATGGAGTTTGGAGGAGGCCTCATGCCTCCGTAGTTCTAAGAAACAGGACATAAAAAAATGTCAGAAAAATCAAAACACATTTGAATCAGTCTAAAAGGAGAAAAAAAAGCCTCCATTTTCCTTTATTTGTACCTGTGGGCCCATGGCCATTCCTCTGGGAGGATTCATTCTCATTGGTCCACCCATGTTAGGATGTCCTGGCAGAAAGAAGAACAGAACCAGAGTCACACCATAAACACACAGGCACATATGTCTCATCTCCTAAAATCAGGAATTAAGTCAGCAATGCAACAGACATCGCTCTGCCGTAATCCCATGAGCTGCAGGCCTCTAGACTCCAGAAGGTCTAATCTACCGCCAAAATCACAACACACTCCTCCTCGAGTCAAACACACCCACCATTTAGTTAAAAAGGCCAAAAAAATACTTAGAAGATTAACAAATGTGCCATTTTAAAATCTGCATTGTTTAAAGGTTAGATTCAGCTAGCTATTGAGGTGATTTCAGAAATATTTAAAACGTTGTTGCAACTGGTTGAAGCCCTAAAGACTAGGATTTTAAATGTGAATACATAAACTACAAGGCAGAAAGTCTACAGAAGAGTAGACTGATGGATGTTGACCACAGTATTGTCAGCATCAAAAGTTAGTGTTTTCTCTCTCCGGTTAAAATAAATGAGAGCGACACAAGAGAGAATCCCTGAGGAACACCTTCGGACAGAAAAGGGAAGCTAGAGGAGGTTCTTCAGCCTTACCTTGCGGTCTTGTTGGGTCCAAACTGTTTGGCAGGAGAGGCTGCGATCCGGGGATTCCCCCAGGCTGGGAAGAGAGCAGAAACGGAAACTCAACAACATAATTACACACACATAGTTCATTTAATGGAAATTTGATCCAAACAGGCGATTACCTGATTTGGCATTCGGAGTGAGGGGCGTGGACCACCTGGATACCGCGGCGACATGAAAGGCTAAAGGGACCAGGAAAAAAAAGAAAACAAAAGCGGAAGACAGAAAAGAGGGGAAAAAAACAAGGGCGGTGGGGAAGAGACACAGAGAAAATGACATTTCTATTATTGATAAATCCAAAAGCACTCAAACAGAGGAAGCACTGAGAACACACAGATGGACACAGCGCGGCTGGAAAATGGATGACAACATCGGAAAACTGCAGAATCAGCAGCACGTCCGACGTGGAACCGAAAAGGAAAAACATCCTTGGCATGAGCTTGTGCGGTATAAACTTTATAAAGTGCATTTTATACCCAACAAGATGGACTGAAAGCTCGTTTCGAGTGCGGGTGTGCGAAACACTTCCCTTCCCGGTAAGCCGACTCGGCGAGACACCTCGGGCCAACGACACGGTTCAAAACCCTTAGCGGAAGCGTGCCCACACTCCCTCGCACACAAGAAAGAAACTGGAAACCACAAGAATGAAAAGCCGAGCCGCCGCAGTTAATGGGCTAAAGCCTAGCTTCACCTCCACAGCGGCGTCTGCAGCCGCTGTAGCTGAGACGTGGCGGCTGAACTCCCTACATGTCGATGACCAAAAACTCAGTAGGAAACTGCTGGATATGTATGCGATTGTTAATTTTGCTTGTCTGCTGTTTTATTTATAAGATGCAAGAAGAAGTAAGTGAGGGGGAGGGGAGAGGTGTGTGCGCTTGTTTGTGTGTGTTCAGGCTGGAGCAGATAAGTGTGCAACCCCCCACAAGCTGCTCCGGGGGAGGGGCAAGGAGTGAATTATTCATCCCGCACGGGGACAGCCGATTCTCGGCCTTCGAGAGGAGCCTGCCCTGCTGCCTGCCTCTGGATGCTTGGCTTTTCTTTTTTTAATTATTTATTTTATTTAAAAAAAAAAAAAAGGAGCTCATAACTGCAGGGGGCTTCCTTTAGTGGGGAGTTAGCCTGAACAAATGTAGCTCTTGGAGGACTCAAGGGTGGTCGGAGGACAGAGTGCAGGTAGCAAATGGGAAGAGAGAAGCTGGAGTGTGTGGGTCAGGGAATGACGGGGTGTTTGAGAGAAAGTGTTTGCTGCTTCTTACCTGGCCATGGGGTCCCATCATGGGGTTGCTGGGGTTGTGTGGGGGGGGCTGTGCGTGAGGGGACTGCTGAGAGCCGGGCGGTCCCTTTAAGAAAGAAGAGCGATATCAGAGAGGGGAGGGGCCAGAATGTGGGGTTCACACCTGGAGGAAGAACCCGATCAGAGTCACAGAAGAGAGGAAAACCATGTTGGGAGGGAGTCTGGAGGGAGCGTTTTCGTTGGAGGAGGACGTTGAGAGGAAAATGCTGCTTATTTTTATTTTTTGGGGGGGGGGGGTTGGGGGGGGAATCAACACTCCAAAACTAATTGACAAATATCATCTTTATACACGGCCTTAAAGTGACCCTGTTACACCACAAGCGCTGATCATTTCCACTACCTTATGTCCCGCGACTGTTCTACTTCCAACCACACGGGGGCAGTGTTATCAAAGGCTTACCACAACAAGCCAAGCAGAGGCACAGACTCGCAACCGGAGAGAACGCCGACCACAAACAAAATAAACAAAACAAAAATACAGAAGCATTTCTGGAAACCTACTTCATGACAGAGTCGAGTTCCGGTGCCAACACACAAATACGATCATACCGCTGACTTCTCCACCCGGGACAGGAGGTTAAAAACCTCTGATAAATACGTCACTACGCGACACCCTCTTCAGTGAAGTTCAATGTTTTACTTCCCCCCCCCCTTTCCCCGCTCTCCCCTCCTAAACAATGAGTGGCAGATTCACAAATAGCAAGTGGAATTTTCCACCTTTCCCTCCAAGACATCCGGACACACACAGAGAGAGAGAGAGAGAGAGAGAGAGAAAAAGAGAGAGAGAGAGAGAGAGGCAACGCGTCGGCTACCGGAGAGCGTCTGGGAGTTTGTGCGCTCAAAGTTAGCCAGAGAATAACTAGTTCAGAGTAACCTGTTGTGACATACGTCTCAAAGCAACATCCACTGCTTGGGCTCTTAAAGGTATCATCAGAAATGGTACAGTGCAAAAAGTTCTCATTTCACAACCAGACGAGGTTTTATGTGTGAGCTCCACATAGCAGTGGATGGACACATGCTTTTGAAAGTTTTTATCTTATTTTGTTTGAGTAATCCCTGTATGATGCATCTGCCAATATATTTCACAGTGGGAAATCTTTTTTTTTTTTTTTTCAGGGTTTTCTACCACTCAGCATGGGTTTTTCATGCAGCCACAAAAAGTTTCAGTCTAGTCTAACCAGAGCGCATTCTTCCATGTTTGCTACGTTAAACTGAAAATGGGGTTAATTACAGCTTTCAACAACTATCTGCTTACCAAATCCTCCAAAGTGGCCAGATTTGTTATGTCTATGACTTACACTGTCAACATGTTATCCCACCTGAGCTGTGGATCTCTGCAGCTCCGCCAGAGTTACCAGGTTCCTCTTGACTGCTTCGCTGATTATTGCTCTCCTTGCTCAGTTATTTCGTAGAAGGTCTGCAGTTGTCTCGTATTCTCTCCTTTTCTGTTGTGCTCAGTTTAAATCTTGTGTCTCATCAGTGAATGAGTTAAAGATGAGCCCCGATTGGACAGCACTCATTTTATTTACGATGTGCTTCGCAATGGATCTATGATCCCTGACATCAATTCTTCAGAGGACCAAAACAGACTGTAAGCTGCTACATTTGCAGATCAGACAGATCATCTCTTCTGTCTCTAAGCACACTGGACTTAGACGACGGTGCGAGAATAAGAGGAGACAGAAAGATGGCAACATCCAGTAAAGATTGTAAATACTGCATCGTTTTACTATCATTGCCTAATGAGACTTTCCTGAAGAGGTCAGTGCCTCAACATATTAAAACAAAAATGAATGAATGTTGCGAGTAGGGTCAGTTTTCTTAAACACACGGTGGTTTTCAGCCAAGCAGAAACGTGGATTTAGGTCAATTGCTGAGGACTTCAATTACAAAAATGGCATTTTACCAACAAATGTCTCCAATTATAACACTGTCACTTGAAGCAGGTTGTTTCTTGCACTGGTTATGCAAATGCTTGGTGCAAAAGTGCATTGACATTAGCAAAAAAAAAATAATTAGGTGTTAATAAGCGACGCGTTTCAAGCTGGAAAACACGAAAAGTAAGTTCTAGACGTTTTCCAGACTCCATTCTCAAATGAAACAAATTGTAAAAATGTGACCCATAAATAATATTAAATACATGAGATGGTGCCATCTCTCTACCTTATGACACAAACTGGTTGCCGACGCTAAACGTTCAGGCCCAATGCAGCCCCAGTCAGGCTTTTACTGGTCAAAACTGGTTTCTAATTTGATGTTTGATTCAAATCCCATCAACTTCCTGAAAACACACAAGCTCATTTGTGCAACATTTGTTTCAATTCTACAATTAAATCTAAAATTGGCCAAAATTGGTTGTTTTTCAGACCCCAGACCTGAAGACTAGTCAGTTCCAACCGTTTTTCCTCCAACCAGTGAACACACCACGCTTAGCGCTAGTGCTGTTCAGTGCGGCCGCAGTGACTGAGAGAAGAAGACTTAATGCTGACTTTGTTCTTTATAAGTGAAAGGTTTAAAATTGGAGGTGTGTAAGAAGGCAGGTCTGCGTTTCACGTAGGCTACAGGAGAGAGCAAGACTTTCAGCAGACAACAGGAAGGCGAATGAGAGGCCAGATTGTACAATTTGACCCTTTCGACCATTAAGCCAACATTCTGGATCAATGGATTTGGAAATGTTTTAATATAGTAAAACAAACCATATTTTCTGGAATATACACACAAAGCTGTTTGCATAATGCTACCCAAGCTAAATCTACTAATTGCTAACAGAGAGTAAAGACAATTTGCAAAGTTTAAAAGTGTATGACAATTTAAGTCAAACCTTTTTTTTTCCTAACACCATGTGACGTTGCCTCTGCTCTTATTTTACTTAAATAATGACCAATGAAGACTAAAAATGGCATTTCAGAAACCTTTTGAAATATTTGTAATATTACTCTTAAACAGAAATTTGAGTTGGAAACAAATGACAGTCTTACAACAAAAAACTCTGTTGTCAGTGCTTCTCTATATGGAGGAAATTTAAATGGTCATGCTTTTTAATAATCCATAAGGAGCATTTGTTCTGTAAAAAAAAGCACAAGCATATTGTTCAGAAAACAATGTGCTAAACTGGCCTTCAAATGTGTAAACATTTAATTTAAATCAAAGTTATGTGTGAAGGGATCCCTTAATGTTTAATAAAAACACAAGTAAGAGCTTGCCATTATCAAATATTTAATTATCAAAGCAACAAACTGATCAAAGCTCAAAGCTTACTGGCACAAAAGCCCCTCTCAAACTATAAGGTGGAAGAAATCTTTATAGCTGTCGCCTTGATCTTGTTTGAATTGTGATAAAACAGGATTTGCCTCCCGTGCAACACTTAACTTGTAGGTGTGTCGCTTCCTACATGCTCTTTATGTTTTTCCTTATGGAGTCAGACGTGCCACTGACCACAGCACTAATAAGAACAGAAACAAGATTCTGCATAATGTGTTGTGAAGCAAAGCAGCTCTCTGGAAAAATAAGTTCCCCTGAACACAACAGACACACAAACCCGCGCCCAATCTCACTCTCCCACCGACGGTAAAAATAGCACTTCCACGCATCTCTCGTCGTCACCCCCCCGTCCCCTCCTTCCTTATTTACAGTCGTGCTTTCACTATTCCTCACCACCAACAAGGGAGCGCACCACGAGGATGTGAGGCCTCAGTGCTGGGAGCAACCATCTTTTACATTTCCCTCCTCTTCTTCCACTCTAATTTTCTTCCTCCCTCCTATATTGTGTCACCCGCGTTTTAGCTCCCACTCTTCGCCGCTACCTTATCGCGCCTCCTGCCAAATGCCACCGCTGTCCATCACGCTGCAGCCTCGCAGAGGATGTGAGAGCATGTGGTTTTTTTTGTTGTTTTTTTTTTGTTTGTGGGTGCTCGCTCACAATCTGTGTGCTTGCCTTCTCTTCGCTCTTAGAGGCTCTCCAACACGGAAACCCCTCCCCGCCCCCGTTTGGCGCTACAGAGCTGGGACGGGTCAGAGAGGGGACGGAAACAGAGATGGATGGGTGGAACGGAGAGATGGACACGGGATGTTGAAGCGTCGATGGAGTGAGAGCCGAGCCACAGATGAATGGACGGAGTCGGGTCGAGTAAGTCTTAGCTGGTTTTGAATAAACGATCGCCCTCATTTACTCAGAAGGTAAATAAAACTCCCAGAACTGCAAACCTGAGTAATAATTACAGTGAACCGCTTAAACAGACATGTTTTGTTGAGTTTGTGTCTCATCTTCCCACGCTCACTGAGAACGTTGCAAATAGCAATAAAAGATATTCACAAATCAAAACGACTTCATGAAACATTTACACCTCTGTTTAGTGTTTTGCATTTATCTGGCACCTCTAAACACAGGCACACAAATTGTTCTCTGTGAGATATTCAAAGCTTCGAAGGTTGATTCATAACCTAAATATGGTTTAGTTTTGTTTTGTTTCTCAATCTCAAAACACTGAAGCATCTGCAGAAATGTTCTATTGACTCCAGGAATAGATAATTAGGGTGGTTTCAGAAAGTAATGGCTGTACTTGATTTTATTTTACATATCTTAAAGTATCAATAGGGGCCAAGTGTGCTCTGATAAGTGTGTCCATGCCACACTTATCAGATTTGAATTTATATATTTATAAAAAACAAAAAAAAACAAAAAAAGAGAACCATGTGTTATTTTCTGTATCAGACAGTAAAACAAAACAATTTTGTTAAATTAAGTTCAGTGGACAAATTAGTCTTCATACAACAAAACTGCCTTTAAATTTTTTATTATTTAGTTGTTTGTAATCTTTTCTGAAGAGTGGTCAGAGGGATGAATGAGAGACGCTGAAAATGTAACAAGTGGGCAGAGAGGAGGCGGGTTATACCTGGAAGAAACCTGGAGGTATGGGACCACCTGGCATGGCGTCGTTGGGGGGCATGTTGCCCATCACCGGGCTCGGCGCCGCCGCTGCGCTCTGAAACACACAGACGACAGCTAAATCACCCTCCGCTCCACAACGCCGGCGCACTGGGCATGAAATCACAAAACCTGCGTTGCACCAGTTCATGCAAAATATTTAAGGACTTTGTTTAAATGTAAACTTAACTCGTGTAACAACAACAGTTTCCCTTTGTTAGAGTCAAATAACAAAGCCGTTTTCCTACAGATTTGTCCATACTTATCTGGACTGTATACCAGTCTTTTTTAAAGACATAACCTCCAATACTTAGAATAAATTTCTGCATTACTCAGGACTTAAACATGGAACCTGCTAGGAAGGAATGAAGACGAAAAAGGAAAGGAAGAACAGACTGATAACACTTTATCAGCATCTTTTCTTAAAACAAAAAACATTTGGGTAGGAGAGATTTTATTAAATCAAAAAGGTCATGTCAACAAATGAACACATGATAAAACCAGTGAATATAAATATATTAATTTTATACTCATCCCCCCCAAAAAAACAACCTAAAATCAAATTCAGTATTTTTCCAGACTTGAAGATGATGCAAAATCTGTAATAATACAAACCACAGAAAGAGATGTGGAGCAGCTAGCAGGCTACACATGATACAGTGTGTTCTTGACAACACGCGTAAAACAAAATACATGTTCAGAGTGCTTACATAAGCAAGCTGGGAAAAAAACAAAAACAAAAGATCAGACCAGCACTCAGAAACATGAACGGGAAAATCACACAGACACACAAAGAGTTGCATCACAGGCTCATAAAGTGCAGCCCCTCGGTACAGAGAGACAGACAGGGGAGGACCGCAGGCTACGGGCGAGAACAGAAGGGCGGAGGGGGTTCAAGACCCCCGATCCGGCAGCACGCACACCTCCAGAGCGCTCGGCGTCCATGTGATGCTACTGTACGCCAGGAAGACGGGACTGCCGTCTAATTGCACACACATGTACGCAAACACTCTCCGTTCTTCCTTTATCTGTTACCGACACACAGAGACTGAAACAACGCCCCCCCCCCCCGTCATTATGCTAATTCTGCTTGTGAACATGAGCAGGGCACTGAATCCCAGGGGTAGACGCAGGGTCGCTGCCTCCTTGCCTCCTCACACACACACTCCCCCACTCTTCCTGTGTCCTCTGTACAGCTTCCTCTGCTCCATCAATGACCCCCCCAGCCCCCACCCCAAACCCCTCTTGTGCCCCGACCGTTACACTGTGCCTCCCCCTCACAACCTTTTCTTCTGCTCCTCCTCTCAGCCCCCTCAATCCCCCCGCCACCCCCACAGTAGGGTGTCAGCAGCTTGCAGAAGCTGTTGCTATGGCGACAGGTCCTATCTGCACTCTGTCCCCCTGGCATCCCCCGCTCCAGGAGCGCAGAGAGAGAGTAAGAAGATGCAGGAGAGAGAGGGAGGGAGAGAGAGAGTGAGTTTGGAGATAAAGGAGTGAGAAAGAAAAAGAAGAAGAAAAAAAAGAGGACTAGCAGGAAAAACCCAGATATTGTTTTGAAGAAAAAAAAATGATTTTTTTGTCGTTCGAGTCAATTTGCAGATCTTTTCTTATTGTTATGGAGCATCATTGGTAATAATTCTTCACATCCACTTTCACATTTGCACAACCTAAACCGAATGCAAACTAAAAAGTGTGGAGACCGAGCGACTGCCGCCAGCGAGATTGGAGCGTAGATTTAGCATGCAGTCGGGCTTTATCAAAACCTACTGGCCTGAGGAAATACTAAAGGAGCCAGCAGACTTTTTTTATATATTTATTTTTGTGCCATCAATATGATTTCTTTTTTGTTTTCATAACGAAAAAGAGTAGCTTGCAATAACTGTAACTCATACAGAAAGTAAATCTATTGGAAGTCCGGTCAGCACAGAAGGTAAACAAGGACTTCTAATGCTAAAGAAACCTGCAGGTAGAGGAATGAGGCATTAATAACAAACCAATTAGTTTATTTTAAAAGTTAAGTTGAATAATTTCTCTTCCTGCCGTCAAGTTCGGGGAAAGTCGGCTGCTGAGAACCGCGCAAGAAACACACAGTCAAGAAGCTTTAATGCTTGGCATAAAGCACAACTGACGAGAATATATTCCTTTCATTTAAAGCAGCTAAAGGTAGTTCAACAAAACCCATGGGACACATTTTCAAATGCCTAGAAATATTTACGCTGTTTAAACCGTAAACTGCATCTTAATGGCCTTACCCTACGGAGCTGCACGGATGCTGTGTCACAGCGTCGAGTGGGAACATCTTCCCAGAGCTGCTTTTTGATGTAGCCTGGGTGAGAAAAACACCCCATCTGTACTAGAAACAAATCGTGCCCCATGGCAACGGCCAATTACACCACATTTAAGCCAATGACACCTGAAACGAAGCATTCCGATTGCTGATGATATTACAGCAGGATATGTTTCAGTTCATTTTTGTGAATTCTTTAAAAAAACACGTCAACGGTTTAGGACCAAGAACACGTACCTGTGGGTTACCATAGATTTTTATATAGTAAATCACCAGCAGGAATCCAATAATGCTGCTAAGAGCTTAAAATCTGATCACGATCTCACTGCTGATCAGAAATTTGTTTAAAAAAAATATATCCACAGTAAAACTACATCACCACAAACCACAGGAGGTTTTGTGTGAGCTCTGTACTGCCATCAGGCAGGTGAATTAAATGTTTGAAGTTAGAAAACTAATAAACAGCAATGTTGCTGATAATATAAATTGTAATTCATACATTTTTTCCTCCTCAAATGCAACTGCTTTCTATCATCCTTGTTATCGGACTGACAGACAGATGAACAAGTGGATGGATGGATGGATGGATGGATGGATGGATCTTTTAAACAAAGTTAAGGACAAAGTTTCTAAATACTTTCCCATACTTTTTAAAGTATTTCAATGAAATTTCATACTCCATATGAAACCTGGTGACACTGTGACTTATGTAGGTTAAATATTATCTTCACTCCATTTCAGCTCAAATATGCAGCATGCAACAGAGAAATGATAAAACATTTACTGGCTCAGACGTTGTGATTAAGAATGTCTCGACTCGGTGTTTAGCTTTTTGTAGAACTGGTTAAAGCCAACTCGCCCAGCGCTGGTTTAGCACTGGAACGTCTACGTCTTAAGGCAGAAAACTACAACTCAGACATTTCTAATCCTGGGCTTTGGCTCACTGCGAGGACCGTCATGTTGTGTTTGCTTTTCGTCCACTGTACAGATCCCAAACGCTGATGAATAATCTATTAGAGAACAAAAGACTCGGGATCTGATTGGGTGGCAGAGCGCGTTATGTAGATGGGTTATACAGAATAGCATTGATCCATACCTCTCCATTTCCCTCTTACCCTCGCTCACCCGTAGGTCCTACCGGACAGATCAATAGTGCTCAACACATTATTGACCTCCGCCTGATACCTTTCACAGGGATAAAGACAGAGACATAAACACTGGATGGCAAAAAGGGAGAGGCAGGAAGGGATGGCGAGTTCATGTGTGTGTGTGTCTATATTTGTGTGTGTCCCTGCCTGGAGAGGTACTAATCTACATTCTGGTTCACACTGATATGTACCTCATCACTGTCTCCTTGACCTGCTGTCCTTAGCGCACACAGAAGAAGGGGTGGGGAGGAGACGAGTTAAGGGAAGGAGGGGGACAGCCTGAAGGGGTGAAGGAGTGAGGTGGTCGCCCAAAAAAAAAAAAAAAAAAAAAAAAAAAAACCTGACAGTTATGATTTAGGCGATTCACCCGCCCCATCAAAACGGAGCGTTTTAGTCGACAAGCAACAGGACACGGCTGAAACTCTTACAATCACGTCTGAGAAACAAATGCTTGTGCAAACACCATCTCTGAAGACCCAGCTGGTCCTCAAAACTGGCACAACTCGCACCGTAAACACACACACACACACACACACAACAGGCTGCTGCCAAGGTAGCAGCGCCCAACCAGACAGGAGGAGGAGTGTGCACAAACGCTCGGCAGCGCTAATAACTCTGCAGACACAACATCCACTTAGCCGGGGCTCTGGAGAGAAGGCAGGGGTGGCTGCAAGAAAACAAGCAAATCAGACCTACCTAACCAGAACAAAACCAAAATGCTCAAACCTGAAACATTAAAGATTTGATGTTCACACTCGTATTTACCTCGTAACACCATGAGCCGTGAGCATTTACCGCCAGTAAAAAGTATTTGTATACCCTAGTTTTATTTTCCTACTCTTTTTGGGGAACTGCCGTAATCAGGGTACATTTGATCCGTTTCAGGTCATGCCACCAAATTTAAGCTTGGACTTTTACTAGGCCACACAGAAACCATCTCCAATACCTTCCAAAGGCAGATCTGCAGACGTGGTTCGGATCATCGTCCTGATGCATCAGATCTACCGGGAGATGCAGCTTTCACAGAGTTTCACTTCAGTCACTACACAAAATATTTACTCAAAGGTTATGAGGGTAATTGAGATATTTTTGGCAGACGTGAAATGAGGTGTGTTTTATTTTTGGACAGCAGTGGTTTCTGCCTTAAAACTTTCCCATTGATGCCATTTGTCCTCCAACCTCGGAAGCCTTAGAAGTTGTTCTGGGTTCTTTTGTGACCTCCTCGATCGGACGTGGGAGAGAAAATAAAGCTGGTCAATTCCAGAAGGGTTCATCAATGTTTCTGATTTCTCAATTTAAAAAAAAAAAAAAAACTGCTTTCACTGCAGCCTTACAAATAGGCTTTGAAACTGTTAATGATACAAATGACTTTGTTTGAAATCTGCTTTTTAATTTCCTTAGACCTGGAAATGATGTGTTGCTTTCTGAGATCTTTTAATCTACTTTGTGTTCATAGATAGGTTCTATTTTACTTGTTTCTACAAACCTAAAAGCAGAAAATGCAGCCATTGTAAATCAACAACTTTATACAACGTTAAAAGGTCAAGCAGAATAAATATGTATGGGACAAAATACTCTGACACCAATATATGTTGTAAACAATAATAAGTTATTTCCATGCGA